GGCCTCTGTGTGTGTGTGTGTGTGTGTGTGTGTGTGTGTGTGTGTGTGTGTGTGTGTGTGTGTGTGTGTGTGTGTGTGTGTGTGTAGGGAGGGAGAGAGAGAGAGAGAGAGAGATTTTTGCTAACTCCCTGGAAGCTAAAAAGTTACTCATATGCTTGCCACATGAAACTTTTGCATTATAAAATATATGAGAACTGTAATATATATTCTTAATTTGCATAATAAATATGTACATATGACATGTACATACGCAACATTCTCCACACAATACAGAAACATCTTTTAATGCTTTCCATTTATTTTGATATAAGAGTTGGGTTGAGGGCTTTCAAGCCCAATCGAGCACGTTCTTTATGGCGGGAGTATCTTCCAGGCTGTCAGATTCAGAGATGGTATGTCTGAGTGGTAAATCATTCCTTTGTCTTATGTCAGAAGATTGGGGATCAGAGGGAGCCTGAATGAGTCTGTTGACATTGACCTGAGGTGAGTGAACCACGGTTGCCTCAGCCACTGTGGTGCAAGGCAAGGAGGATTAGACTGGAACTGTCAAAGTCAAATGACAGTCCTCTGTATGAGAGGTATGGGATGGGAGGAAATAGATAGAGTAGGTCTTCATCCCAGTCTATCATGAATACGTCCCTGACCTGATTCCTGTCCGCACCTGCTCAGAAGCAATAATGTTGGCATTTGGTATTTGCTTGTGAGGCAAAAATATCGTTGGTAGAAGTGCCCCAGCGTTCACACAGTAGATCGAATATGTTGTCATTTAGAGACCATTTGTGTGTCCTTGATGTCAAGTGACTGAGGTAATTTGCGAGGGAGTTTTATTCTGTGGCTATGTGAACTGCTATAGGGAAGATGTGATGTTGCTAACACCATTCCCATAACTCAATGGTGAGATACAGGAGGGATAAAGAATGTGTGCCTCCTTGCTTGTTCGTGTAATACAGGACGGTAGTGTTGTCTGTAACAAGTTGAACTGCACATTCTGCGATGAGTCGCAGGAAAGCGTGAAAGGCTCTGATGACTACTAAAACTTCGAGGTGATTGATATGCAATAATTTTTCTTGATTTGTCCATAGGCCATGAATCTTGTGATGTAGGCAGCATGCTCTCCAGCCCGAC